GAAGCACCGTGTCCGGCTCTTTTATTAAAACGTTCCCCTTTTTCAGGGCTATTACACACGCGTGTTGAAAACTACCCGAGTTAACGTCCAACACCACAACTCTGCTCTTCAGCTGCCAGCACAGAAACTATATATTTACTTTTGATTAGTTTCTTACATAAAAGGAGAAAATCTTGCGTTGTCCCTCTGGTAACCATTCCCATTTTTTAATCCCATCCCCTCTTTTTACCTCCACACTCTTCTCACCTTGAGCCTTACTGGTTTCCACCCACACTTCACTTTTCTTTGTCAGCCTGTGGTCTGTAGTCCCACTCGTGTCATCCGGGTCAACTTTACTCTGGAGCAAAACGAGCAACGTTCATAGATTTTGTTAAAAATAAAATACATTGTTAAATAAAAGAACACATTTTCATCTGTATTTAAAATAATTGAGTTAAAACAGTCACATTTATATAAAAGCCTTACACCGCTAAAATTACATTACGGCGCAATCGTTAATTCATCTGTTATGAATTTCAAAGTCATAATTTTAAAATTTAAACTAATAATTGTGACCCTAGTTTACATTTTATTTTTGTTTTAGTAGAAAAATGGGCTTTTATGCATTTAAGCTTAACCTTTTTCTGTGGAATCAAAATGTTGTTGCCGACAATTTAAATTACAATGCAAATAAAAGCATTTAGATCCCACATTGGATTAGCAATAACAAAAATATATTTCAATAAAAAAAACTGGGTTTTGAGTATACGTACCAGAATAAAATACGACAGGCTCAGACACCATATGACGCAAAACCCCAGCAGCAAAAACAAAATCCTTTTGAGAGTTTGCTTTGGTTTTCTCATGACTCACTGGGGCTGGATGTTGGTTCGCATGTTTCACGTTGTTTTTTTAACAATAGGAAGAAAAAAAAAGAAATGGAAAGTTACTACAAAACACAACAATGCAGCAATCAGTGTTAAGCTTTTACTGTGGGTGACAAAAATGCTTTTGCTGTTTAAACAAATTAAAAAAAGAATGACTTGGAGGCTATGCTTTTTAAAAGTGTATTTTAAATAGTACAATTAGAACTAACAAAAAAAATGCTATTTGTAATAAATCAAGTGTTTTTACAGACATCTTGAAACAGATGAGTGAAACAAGCTTCAGGACCATGTGAGTTAAGCTTGGCGAGCTAATTTAAACTGCATAGTATATTCTGTGTCAAGCGGTTTTTGTTTCAGCAATTTAGGTAAATGAACCCATCTAAACAATATTAATATAAACTTATTATTTAATGTCCAGTCCTGCTTTAAAGACCTGTCACCTTGAATGTTTTATACGTTTTAATGCTCACCCAATGAAGGCAGATATAACTCTTCAGCATGTTCTCAAGAAGCCTATAATCACCATGGTGTCCAATCAGGTGTGTCGAATCAGAGAAACCGTGGAATTAATAAGGATAGAAGCATTTGCGGATCCGTATTGGACACAAAACACAAGCCATCAAGTCCATATGACTTGCAGCATTATGTCAACAATTCTGCTACTAGAATATTCATGTCCTAGTTTATTTTAACCAGAATCTGGTGGTGATGTTTTAAAGTTGTTGCAAATAAAAACATATTAATTCAAACACTAATCATTTTAACTTGAATTTCTTCAGTGAAGGTTTAGATGTTGAATGTTTTAGACCTGGGAGAGATGATTTTATGGCTGCTGCTTCCTCTGTCCTGTCTGCCAGGTGATTACCGGCCTCTTCATGTCACAACATGTCAGTTATAAGTTTGCTTCTTTGCTTGCTGAGGAAAAAAAAAAAACAAAAAAACATACACCGTCTAAAAGAATTAGGGAGCCAATCAGACCAATTTCAGCAGACAACTCATGAAAGCTGTTTGCTCTGTTCAGGAGCTGCTTTGAAGGTTGTCCTCAGTCAGTGCCTTCACAGCTGGAAATTGTCAGATTAATGAAGCAATGTTTGGAGGAACAGGATGAGGATAAAACTAACGGAATCAAACCAATTTCACCCTGCAGAGGCTGAAGAATATTAAAGCTTATTTTAAAATTGGTTGCAGTATTTTGAAGACAGCTAGGGAATGATCCAAGAAGAAGTGAACAGGTGAGGGAGGAGCCTCCTCTTAAATGGAGAGCCAATCGTTTGCTGATGGCAGGGGGTGTTGCCCTAAATCAGGCTTGACCTATCAACACAAGTTAAGTTTAAGCCATTAATAGCTGACAAATGAGACATAAAAAAGCCAAATATCACCTACTGATTAACACAACGCCTGTAATTTTGTAAAATTCACTGGATTTGCTGACTATTCTGTACTGGACTTTGAAACAACTTTGGTTTGTTACCATCTGTCACATGGTCAAAAGGTTATTGCGTTGATGAAATGGAGCACCACATCCACCTATCTATCTAGGTTAGGTTTGTCGAAAGCTACAAATTATGTCCAGCCATTGACAGATTTAAAATACCCTACAGATATACAAATACATGAAATGTGATTATCATTCAAAAGGTAAATGAGATCAATCAGTCAGTCAATCAGTATAGCTTTAATGTCCATAACATTTCATGAGATGGAGATTTATCTTTGACATCTGGCTCATATATACAAAACAACATGTTAAAAATGCCATTAAACTTTAAAAAGCTTTGCTAACCAAATAAAACCAATTCTAAAATGCATGATACATTAAAATATCTGTATCAAACTCAAGGCCTGGTGGCCAAATGTGGCCCAGATGTTTCCAACCTGAATAACTGTTGCAGTGCATGAGTTAGGTCATTGTAAACCTGGATTGCCTAGAGCCTGATTGTACAGGTCTAATGCTGCATTTTTTTGTTGATGACCAATGACTTTACTACCTTGTTAGCCACCCAGGACAACCGGTTCCTGTCTTTGGCTAGGAGGTTCCTATACCATGAGACATTAAAGGAAACAACACGGTGAACCCGTGAGTTGTACACCAAGTGCAAGGTATTTTTGCTAGCATTAAAGCTCGTTAGCTTATACAGAAGGTGGAGATGCCATCATGTTTTCTTGGAAATACAATCAATGTTGGGCTAAAAGGTCAACTTGTTATCAGTTACTGTTCTGAGGTATTTACATTCAGTCACTGCTCTACTTCTTGCCCTTTTATAACAGAAGGTCTGAATACAAGATCAAACAGATCAGATTAGTTTGAAACATTTTGCAAAAGAAAAAAAACAATCCCACAATAGTCAACTGTCATGGGGGTTTGAATGGATCCTTCTCCAGATGCTTCAGCTCCTTCCATAGATGTTGAACTAGATTTAGATCATTGCTCAGAGATGACTTTAGAACAGTCCAGTGTTTGGTTCTGAGCCATTCTTGGGTGTTTAGGGTCATTATCTTGTTGGAGGGCCCATGACCTGTGACTGAAACCAAGCTTTGTGATGATAGGCAGCACATTTCACTCCAGAAAGCTTCAGTAGTCTTGAGATTTTATTGTGCAATGCACAGATTTGACTCCCTGCACCAGATGCAGCAAAACAACCCCAGAACAGAACCGGACCTTCTCCATTTTTTTTACTGTAGGTCCAGTGTGCTTTTCTTTGTTTCAGTTTTGGTTCTGTGAACATAGAGCTGATGGAACTAGGCAAAAAGTTCCAGTTTTGTCTCATCTGTCCAAAATAGATTCTCTCAGAAGCATTGCAGCTTGCCATTAAGACTTCTGACATGAACCCATTGCTGTTTTTATGATTTGGAATCATCTTCGGCTGTTTGCCATTAAGTCCACTTTAAGCTCAAACGATGACCTGACACTGATGTCAAATTACTTTAAATTTCTTTCCATCCATTTTGTCAAGACAAATGTCATTAAATTATTTTAATTATTATTTCCAGTTGACCAAAATCCACCAGCTATGATTGATTTTTGGTAACTATTTCTGATTGTTACTTTTTTCAGTTTCAAGTCATGCCATGGATCTTTGTGGATTTTTCTGTCTTTATTCAAAGGGTAAAAAATAATACTGTATTTCTTACACTGCTAACCACACTCTTAAAAATATAAAGATACTTTAAGGTTTTGCACTTTGTTCTTCACATGTATTTTATGCAAGAATAACAAAAAAAATACAAAAAACATAAAAACACATACCTTCAGGGTATCAAGTCAGTCCTTCTCATTCATCAGAAATGATCCAGGTATGATTTATTCTCGTCTTTTTATTATCCAGTTCTCTTGAGGACTCAAGGAGCAGTACGCTGACTGGTTTCTCAGGTGTGAGTATATTTAAACAAACACTCAGTCACCAGTTTCTACATGAAACTAGTTTGCCAACCTGTTTTGCTTCTTGACACCCACCGCTGGTTGAAATGTTGTCTTATTTTTTTACATTTGATAAAGACAGGCTTGCTTAGGATATCTTCCTTTTTCAACTTTTTTCAAGCACTTTGAACTGAAAGTCATAGCAACATTAGAAATGTTCAATGTTCTAATAGTCTGTCAGCCTGTTTCATTGTTTTAAACAGAGACATGAAGCGACGGGACAGGTTCGGGGAAGGCATTGTTGTGGCTCCACTCTGGTTCCAGAACGAGCCGTCTAAAGAAGCTGTCATCTGTTCATGCGTAGATCCCTTCAGATATGTTTGTCTCACTCGTGCCACACCTTTTGGACAAAGTCTTTGTTGATCAGTTCTTAAGCCTCATTTGTCTTTCGTTTTAAACTTGACTTGTTATTTAAGCTTTTTAATTGCACGTTCAATCTGATTTTAGTCTCCTTCTTTCCTCCAGATGTCATTGTTTGAATGGTTATGAAGCATTCACAATATTGTGATCCATTTTTTCTCCCATATGTTTTTCGGCATCTTTCTCATTCCAAAGTTTTTGTTATTTCAACAAATACTATTAATATTAAATCAAAACGTTCAGCTTGTTAGGAGAAAGGTGCTATGACTTCTGGTACTGGTGCAACTTTATTTCTGTTGCTTTCAACCTAATTAAATTAATTTAGTTAATCTCAGCTTTTATGCTCCTTTCAGCTTATTTCTACAAGTTTCAGCGTATTCAGCTACTATTTAGCAGTTTTATGTTAATTTCAGCTTTTCAGCTAATTCCAGATTTTTTTTTTGCAGTAATGTCAGCCTTTTTCTGCCTAATTCAGAAAAAAAATTGCTCTCTCCACTTTTTTTCTGGTAATTTAAGCTTATTTCTGCTTTTAAGCTAATTTTCAGCTGTTTATTTTTCTAGTTTAAGCTTTTTCTGATTATCACTTTTTTGTGCTCATTTCTGCTTCTTCAGCATGATTGGGCAAACATGCTCTTTCTGCTTTGTTCTGCTAATTTAAGCTTGTTCGACACTTTCAGATAGGTTTTATAGCATTTTTACCTAATCTCAGCAGTTTTCAGATAAATTTGTTTTCATGTTAATTTCTGTCACTTTCAGCCGAACTTATTTATGCTAATGTCAGCGTTTTTCTGCTAGTTTCAGCTTTGTCTGCTCTTTCTTTCAGCTACTAGTTAGCTGTTATGATGCTAATTTTAGCTTGTTCAGCTAACCCCCCCCTTTTTTTTTTTTAGCTCATTTCAGTTCTTTCTGCTTCCTTCTGGTAGTTTAAGCTTCTTTTTGCCTTTTCAGATACTTTTCAGGATTTTTTTTTTTTGGGCTAATTTGAGCTTTTTTGTAGCTAATTTCCTATGTTGCGCTATTTATACTTATTTAAATCCAATTCAGCAACTATGTGTTCTTTCTGCTTTTTTTCTGCTAATTGATGCTTGTTCTTTAATTTCAGCTGCATTTCAGAACTTTTTTTTGCTAATTCCAGCAGTTTCTCAGCAAGATCTTCTGTAAAAAACATTCACACTGCATTTTTGCAGTGTCTAGTTTATTG